GGTTCTTTGTAAATTCAAGGTCATCCTGGGCTATACAAAATTGATCCAGTCTAAAAGAGAAACAGAACTCACACAAAAGTGATCCCAGCACTTGGATGACATGCATTTTATCCCAGCACTGAGTTGGAGACAGGAAGGGATATGGCTGGACAGGGAAAGGAATATAAGGCAGGAGGATACAAGAGCTCAGGGAAATCTAGGCAGTCTAGGTAGTCAGTCTGAAGCAGTCAGTCTGTGCGTGCAATCTGAGGATTCATAGAGACGTACGAAGTCTGAACAGCAATCAGTCTGAAGCAGTCTGAGGAGGCAGTTTGAGAACAAGACTGAGAACAAACTGAGAACAAGTCTGAGAACAGGCCCTTTGGTCTGAGGTAGAGGTAAGAGTTAGTGCCTGGATGTTTTGCTTCTCTGATCTTTCATCTTTATCCCTGTAATATCTGATGCTGTTTTTTTATTATTATTAATACCAATTAGAATTCGTGCAACAGACTCCTAGAAGAAACTCATGAATATAGACCCATTTCTTGATTATATCTGGAAATATACTATTGGACAATGAAATGAAAGGAAATTGACTTCCTAAAGGGCATTCAGAATAGGTCAGCAATTGTGTACCATGGTCTGCAATAAGGAAGGACCTGAAGTGGACATATTCTCTTTTTCTAATCCTAGAGAGGAACAGATTTCAAGTTTATCACTACCAGTAAAATCACCCTTCCCTGAACTATTGTTTTCTTTTAATGATCACTTTTTCTGTGTGATATTTAGATGTTTTAATAACTTTGCACAGTTTCCTTAAGATTTGTCAGAACAGAATACATGTTACCTGAAGGTATGATCAAGAGTTATGATTATGATGTCCATTATGGATTTTCCTTCCTTTATGTTTTGTATTTCTTTTTCCCATTAAACTAGATGGTCAGTTCTATGACTATATTATTTTACTTTCATTATTACTTGACTTCCCATTGCATTTCCTAGCAAATTTCTCAGTTGAAGATTTACAATTGGGATTTGTCACCTTTCAGCAGTCAAAGCATCTTTAAAGAAAGGGTGAGCAATACTTACAACTGACACCTAAATTGTACTACTTGACAATTTCTCAGCCTCCATGATATACGTTATAATTCAAATGATCTTAACAATAATAATTGGGGAAGAAGAGACTATCAGTTTGGAATGGGGTGCACGGAAGAGATTGGGAGGGGCAGGAAGGAGGAAAGAAAAGGGAATAGTGATTAAACTCATTTAATTAAATGTATAAAAATTAAGAAAGAAAACAGATAATACAACAACAACAATAATAACAACTTTAAACAAAAGATCTTGTGAAATCATGGGAAATTTTTCCATCTGCCAAAATCTGATTTTCACTGTTAAGGGATAGACAGTCCCACTCTGAGAGTATGTTTTCACTATTTTTTTTTAACAATTCTGTCTACGATTGCCACTTCTCTACTACCTTTCTGTATATCTAACCAGGAAAATGGCCTAAGCCCTCCTAATAGTAGTTACAGAAAGGTACAGGGCCTCAGATCCCGTCTCTTGCTGTCTCACGGTGTTGATATTATTACTGAGGAGCTATGTATTATTTCACTCAATTTATTGCAGAGTTATCATGACTTCTTCAATCATGATGACTATAAAATCCCTATTAAATCCACTTTCTAATTCATTTTTTTTTTGTTTTTTTTTGTTTTTTTTTTTTGAGACAGGGTTT